TACTGGCAATTTCATTCATTAAAGTATTATCAGTGGTATAGTTAGAATCCAGGTCTTATCAGTGGTATAATTAGAATCCAGGCCTTATCAGTGGTGTAATTAGAATCCAGGTCTTAATCGTTTTAAAATGCAAATCATAACTACAGCAGAAGGTGCCGATCAACCGAGTTATGAACTTCGACGTTTACTGGGAGATCTAGGAGTTGATAAACATGGGCAATCGCGAGGAAAATACATGAACATACATTTTTGTAGTTTCGATTAATATCCTGCTGTGAGGTTTTATTATATCAGTTGATCGGCATTATGTGTCTACGCCTAAACCACTGTTGTCTTCTGGTTTCACATGTTAATAGATCTAGACACGTCAGGCAATCGACGGACAGCTGAGAAAAGTGATTTCTTTTTGTATTTTGTGAGATAAAATTATTTAGTATATTATAGATATAACTTGTTTATTATACCATACCCTTTATCTCCCCTCGAGCTAATAGCAGGATTGGAAAGGATATAGAATAGGGTATTAAAATGTTATGCAATAGCTTCAGACTATTTTATCTTTAACAAATCTTATTCGCGGCTGCACGTGAAGAGATTATTTTAAAGTATCATTATCAATCCACTAATTTTACACTGTTAGACAACCAAGTCTTAGAATGTTGTTTACCAACATTAGACTTGAGTTATTTACGATGCTCGGCTGTCGTCTTCCAAGTAAGATTACAGTAGCCTTGTATGTAATATCCCTGTCTTGTTTTACAGGTGAAGGGTCCGGTAGAACTTTAGTATCTCGGGAGATATATTGACAGAATTATTGTCGCTTATTTCAAATATGTATTATTTGTAATATCATACAATAAGGATTGGATACAAGTTTAGCTAATTAATCTAGTATTCTCCCGGTAATTATCAAACACTCACGTAGTTGATGTGTAGCCACATTGCTTACATTACAAGGTCAATAGGAAGGAGGGACGAAAAATCCTGTATTCACTCAGACTGTTATAAACCTGGTCCCGACAAAAGGCGTTGTCAGAGGGTCTGGCTCTACAATTTGTGTTTGTCTCTCCCGTATAAAGATAATCGCAGTCTGTCCTTCGTAAGTCCAGATGAAGGCGTGTAGTTCAATGTTTACCTGACAACATGTCAACCTATCTACACTTGAAATCGTTATCGTTCTGTATCGTATGTAGGGCACCTGAGCCAAAGGTTCAAGCCACCTATTGCGTTCCGCTTTTTGTTCGTCGTCTCGCGGCGAACATATTTACACTTTTAAGTAGTGAAATCATGAATAGAGGAATTAAATTTAAAAAAGGCTATAACTAGGTTTTAAGTAGGTTTTAAGTAGGTTTTATCTATGTTTAAGGTATATGTATTTGGACCTTGAGTTATTAGAATGGTCCGACTCATACGACTTGATGCGACAACAAAATGAAAATATGATGCATTTTTATGTTAATATTTTTGTAAATCTAAAGAAGAACTGTACATTCCACAGATTTTCCTTCGATATATAAAAAAACACCATAAGATATCCATGTCATGTCCCAATATCTGTCATACATTTTGTATTTTAGATCTTCTGAGCTTAGCGATACTTAAAACCTCCTAAACAGCCATTGAACTTATCCCCACTTAATTTAATTGAAAAAGCCCTTAATCACATACGATTCAGTGTTGTTAAAATAGAGATTCAAGGTTGCTGAAACGCGCAACCAACCCCTTAAAAAAGGCAAGGAGCAGAGCCAAAATTAGAAAATGCGTCAGGGAACTTTTAAAATCGTCATCAAAACACCCAGTAATGCTGCGTCAGTCTGTTTTGATGGTCGCCTGTCTGTTGTCACGAAAGTGTCGAAGCTGCTGTACTGGAACACCTCGGAACATATTTCAATTCTACTTTAATAGTGTAATACGTGTGCAAGGTAGATTATAATAATGTGATTTAATTTCGTTTTGATTAACCTTTTTCTAAACTATGTATGATGTATAAAATATATTCCAGATTGGGTTGACAACAGTCTTACATTGTGGTTAGTTCATCACATCAAACTACATGTCTTTATCCGATTTATACCCTAATACCTATTAGAATAGGGGTTATGGAAAGTTTGAAAATATTACAATGGCCCTAGCATGAATGTTAATTTTTGTTTACGTTGATAGCGGTCTCACATCAGCTGACCGCTAAGGCCCATCACATATGTTGTTATTTATGTTTTCCATGTTAGGTTTGCTTCTTGCTTTGCTCATTAGAGTAGTTATTCAGAGCAATAAGGAAAGAAATAATACATAACACTGATTTAATCAAACATGAATATAGAAGAAAAATGCTTCTGTCAAGCATATTGAAATAGACTATAATCTGTTGGTTTCTGAGGCGCATTTAGTAAATTAAACATTATAAAAACTCTAGTCCTAAATATTGGAATACATATATATAGCAACTATGATCGAAATAGGAAATAAAACGAAAGAAAGCCAAAAGTCTTCTGAAATTAATAGAAGAAACTCGATAAAATAGTTGCTCTTTCTGATGGTGATGAATTATTATTATTAATATTATTACTATGCAAGAAAATGAAATAAGTATTGAATAAAGGTTCTATGACAGGATCACAACTTAAGAAATAATCTGTACCTCAAAAACAATACATGTTTTTACAATAATTATCATCACAAATCTAATATATTGTAGAGTGTATAACCATAACAACTGACAAAGGTATATAACCATAACAACTGACAAAGGTATATAACCATAACAACTGACAAAGGTATATAACCATAACAACTGACAAAGGTATATAACCATAACAACTGACAAAGGTATATAACCATAACAACAGACAAAGATATATAACCATAACAACTGGCAAGGGTATATAACTATAAACAACTGACAAAGATATATAACCATAACAACAGACAAAGATATATAACCATAACAACTGGCAAAGATATATAACCATTACAACTGACATGGGTTTATAACCATAACAACTGACAAATATATATAACCATAACATCTGACAAAGGTACATGTATATAACCATAACAACTGACAAAGATATATAACCATAACAACTGACAAAGGTATATAACCATAACAACAGACAAATGTATATAACAATAACAACTGACCAAGGTAAATAACTATAAACAACTTACAAAGATATATAACCATAGCAACTAACATGTGTATATAACTTTAACAACTAACAAAGATGTATACCTATTACAACTGACAAAGGTATATAACCATAACAACAGACAAATGTATATAACAATAACAACTGACAAAGGTATATAACTATAAACAACAGACAAAGATATATAACCATAACAACTGGCAAAGATATATAACCATTACAACTGACATGGGTTTATAACCATAACAACTGACAAATATATATAACTATAACAACTGACAAGGGTATATAACCATAACAACTGATAAAGGTGTATAACCAAACCAACTGACAATGATATATAACCATAACAACTGACAAAGGTATATAACCATAATAACTGACAAAGGTATATAACTATAAACAACTGACAAAGTTATATAACCATACCAAATGACAAAGATATTTAACCATAACAACTGACAAAGTTATATAACCATAACAACTGACATATGTATATAACCATAACAACTGACAAATATATATAACCATAACAACTGACATATGTATATAACCCTAACAACTGACAAAGATATATAACCGTAACAACTGAAAAAGATATAAAACTATAACAACTGACAAAGGTATATACCTATAAACAACTGACAAAGATATATAACCATAACAACTGACAAAGGTATATAACCATAACAACTGACAAAGATATATAACCATAACAACTGACATGGGTTTATAACCATAACAACTGACAAATATATATAACTATAACAACTGACAAAGGTATATAACCATAACAACTGACAAAGGTATATAACCATAACAACTGACAATGATATATAACCATAACAACTGACAAAGTTATATAACCATAATACCTGACAAAGGTATATAACTATAAACAACTGACAAAGATATATAACCATAACAACTGACAAAGTTATATAACCATAATAACTGACAAAGGTATTTAACCATAACAACTGACAAAGTTATATAACCATAACAACTGACATATGAATATAACCATAACAACTGACAAAGATATATAACCATAACAACTGGCAAAGATATATAACCATAACAACTGACATGGGTTTATAACCATAACAACTGACATATATATATAACTATAACAACTGACAAGGGTATATAACCATAACAACTGACAATGATATATAACCATAACAACTGTCAAAGTTATATAACCATAATAACTGACAAAGCTATATAACCATAACAACTGACATATGAATATAACCATAACAACTGACTAATATATATAACCATAACAACTGACAAGGGTATATAACCATAACAACTGACAAAGAAATATAACCATAACAACTGACAAAGGTATATAACCATAACAACTGACAATGATATATAACCATAACAACTGACAATGATATATAACCATAACAACTGTCAAAGTTATATAACCATAATAACTGACAAAGCTATATAACCATAACAACTGACATATATATATATCTATAACAACTGACAAGGGTATATAACCATAACAACTGACAAATGTATATAACCATAACAACTGACAAGGGTATATAACCATAACAACTGACAATGATATATAACCATAACAACTGACATATGATTATAACCATAACAACTGACTAATAAATATAACCATAACAACTGACAAAGATATATAACCATAACAACTGACAAAGATATATAACCATAACACTTCGACATATATTCCAAAAAAAGACGTTTTGTTGTCTAGTTATGAGATTAACTGCTGGTGACATGATATGATAGTATATGTTGCTGTCAGGAAATGAGAACACACTCATTGTTGTTTTACTTTAAATCAGATAAAGACGGATATTCTTTCAGAATATTTTATTTATTTACTTCACACAAAACTAAAGCTGTTGTACACACATGTATCAGCATTACTATTACAGCCATGCGTCAAATTAATCAAAAACTTAAACGTGTTGTAGAAAAGTATAAAATAACTGGATTTCACAACATCACAAAAAAATCATTTCTTTTCATAAATACCCATCCCTTCATAACGGATTTCAAAGATTGAAAGTTTCAATAATATAAAAAGCATGTTCCTATGTTAAACACAACCATTACTTACATACACTTAAATATAAAACAATTTGAAAAAACAAATTAATGTTTATAGATACAGAATATCTGCATACAATGTTTATTATGTTAATAGGCAAGAACTAACTAAGCGAGAAGCAACCCGTTTTCTCCGAATTAACACTAGTGACCCGTTCATGCTCTACAGATCGTGTATGAGAAAGTACGAAAAGCAGCACGTGGCTATTATGAATGTAAATATTAATTTAATCATCACCTGTTAAAGTGTGTATTATTTGCATAATAATGTATTTGATGGTCGTCGTTGAGATTAAGTCGGTGCTGAATTCAGCAGACACGATAAGTAGAGCACGGTAGTATACTGAACACACATATGACTCTCGTTCACAACAACATTCACTGCTTTTCGACGGAAGACACTATTATACATGACCTATTTTGAGACATTTACCATTCACAATACACATTTGTACCAACTTACAGCGAGATTCATCGCGAATAAATTAAAGCATGTTCAGAATATAAAATATCACAGAAGTAATCCAAATGGATTGGAATGTTTGAAACATTCAATGCTTATTAATACTGCACATCAGGTATGTTTGCGAGCGTTGATATTTTTGCCAAAATAGTAATAAAAATGTAAATGTCTCGAAATCAAACTCAAAATCGTAAGTTTGAATTTTACTACTGCTTATATACACAGTTTTACAAAAAGCTTCTTCTATTCTGGTATTGTGAAAGCAAATATAAAGAGCCAACATTTTGTAAACACTTTCTTCTTTCGGAAACGTATTTTGATAAGAGTGGTATCAAGAACTGAAATCAAGATTTCATGGGGAAATTGTTTGAATTTGAACCATTGAAATACTACATTATGCATACGTTGATATTGAATGAAATACTACTGTTTTGTGTTTAAAACACGTTTGAAGCTTTAGCACCATTGAAACAAAAAGTCACACACCTCATGCATCACATATCTGCCTGGCGATAGATACGGTTGACGCCGATACATCAGCATATGTAGGGACGTGTAGGAGGTATCGATCGGGTGGAGAACTGCACATCCTGTCCGCGTCTGGCACGGACCCTTCATCGCCAACAACAACTACGTACAGCTTGATTTTAAAAGCTGTCCTGATCGCTTCGTGGATGACCAGTGGTGTTATTTCTGACCTTCTATCCAAAAATAGGACAGCTACATGCTCTGCATTCGACCGACCTCCATTGATTGGTAGAAAGGAGTGATGACGTAGTTTTCTAAGTAACGTCCTGAGTTTTCCTTCCTTGGCATTGTCCAATCTTTCCTCGAAAGACTCTTGATCTCGGATTTCTGCCAGTCTGGAATCGGTGCCGTGCGCATAAACCTCTGACATCACCCCTACTCGCTGGTCTTGTTTACTCTCCAGACCCATATTCTTTGCTATTTTACCGATAGCCTTCCGAAGGACGGTTGACTTTTCTAAACCGAGGCTAACTCCATCGAAAACAAACATAATGTCTCGTGGTCCATATGTTCCACACGCTGAAAGCAATCAAATGTCAGTTTTAGATATATCGAAATATGCATTTTGTTCTTCAACATTGCTAATAACGTTTCATTTATTTAAACATGCATATCAGTATTCTAGAGTTACCATTTCCATATTTAGTTAGTCTTTAGCCTAATAACATTACGCTAGCAGGAGTCCTCTAACAACAGTTGATAGGGATTTTGTCAAAGATGTCGCCCCATAAAAAGGACATTGCAGAAATGATGTTGCTGTGTACCTGACATTTCACTTATTCCATTATTGTTACGATTCCTGTCGTCTACATAGATATTTGTTGTATTGTCTTGTAAAGCCACCAGTAATTCTGAAAGTTCTATAACCGATGTATGTACACATGGGACAAGGGCTGTGGCTTGGTCAGCCAATCGGTTGTCTGTTAACTTAATGCAACTTGCTTTATCATTGTAAAAGAAGAATGTTTTTTTCTGTTCATCCATGAGATACTAATAAATGAACCGCTTCCCAGTAACAGTTAACATGTATAGCTATCATTTTTAGTGCAAACGTCAAAAGGTCATTTTTGTAACAGCCATAGTTGAAATAACAAAATACTTACCAAAATTGTTTTCGACAGACTTGTCATTTTGTGTAGCTTCGACTGCAAAATAATATAAGAAACGTATACAGACAAACTAAATGTGGATAAGTAAATTTGCGTGTTTTCTAAATGCTTTGAAATGCCTTAAGATTACCCTATAATTTCCATATATATAATACAATCAATATTGAAAACATAATTCCTGATTCAGTTTTACTCATTATATGTCATGTATTACGAGCGTGGAGAGTAAAAGTGAGTTTACTTGTACCTGTAAGTACTTGTAAGTTACCTGTTCATAACGTAATAAAGATTGGTTTACCTGTACAAGCTTTGATAGCTAGTATGTTTCTCAGATGGCGAAGGGCGTTGTAATTGTTGACCTTGAACATGAAGCTCTCGGCGGGGTCGCTTGCGATGGCCATTAGCTCTGGAATGGACGCCATATCCCCAATTCCGATAGCAAATACGTATATGCCAGCCTTGTGTGCTAACTCCGCTTCCCTTTCTGTCTTAAATGTGTTTGTAGATTTCCCGTCCGTCAGGAGAACAACGATGTGAGCTACTTCCGACCTCGCAATGTCATCACGGAAACCATATTCTCTTACATTTTTCAGGGCAGCAGCGGTGTTGGTATTTCCGGTCAATCGATGTAAATTACGGACTCGAAATTTTAGTTCATCCTTGTCAAAGTCGTTGTTAATGGGGATGACTGGGTGGGTTCTATCACTATATAGAGTAACACCTACCCTTGTATGGGACTCTGATATATCAAAGATATCCACAATGTCACTGACAAATCTAAGCTGTCGGTCGAAGTCGGTTATATGTATACTGTTGGAGGAATCCAGGAGGAAGTACATGTCGGCTGGTTTACCACCGCAGACTGTGGATAAAATATAAAGGTTGATAAGGAAATAAAATATACAATTCATGCATTTTTGTTAGGTAATTACTTGTGTGGACAATTACCAAAACACTGTAATCAGTTGAAATGATAAATCTTATATCGTTCATAAATTAATTTTACAGTCAATTTCTCTGGTTTTACGTTATGACAAGATCTCATTAAATATTCGCTCTTATTGTGTAATGTAGAACAGCGTATTGAAACAAGACGTTCCAAAACGAGTACTATCATTATTTTTATTTTTTAAATGTCACGAGTAATGACACACTTGTTTATGATATTGTCGAATGAATGACATTGATGTTTTACGAACAATGAGTCAGGGCGGTAGAACCTTGTTTGGGGTAATAAACATGTTAATTGATACTCTTGAAGCGAACATAAATTTGAATTCATAATCCTCAAAATATTTTGCTATTATTCTCTTTTAGTTCATAAAGCAAACAACAAATGTTTTTTTTATGTATTTATCATAGAGCTACTTCGCAGAGTAATGTCTGTAAAGTCACAGGGAGTAAATATTTAAACATCAACGTTTTACAATTCAGAATTAATACCAATAGTTGACTGGTTGCTTAAATTGTTAGTATTTTAACAATATCTCTGTTGTTTTATGTATGATCTGGGGGTTGATAGGTTAAAAATTTAACATTTAATTTAATTGTTAACGGTACTTACACTTTTTGGGTTGTTTCTCGGGCTCTAGATTTTTTTCATTGGATTGGTCTTTCTGGAGTGGACCTGGAAAAATTAAACTATATTTATTACCCAATCCAATTCAAATAGATAACTCTTTAATATCCAACCAATTGTATTGAATTCAGATTTGACATAATTGTTTATGACAACATGGTGACTGTGAACTATCAAGTACTGTTGTCTATATAGATATCACGATGGTAGATAGTCCGCCATTGATGTGTTAGAGGCCACATTGCATGAAAAAAGTTCACGTGTGGTTAGGTTACATGCTTCGAATACACAATATAGAGTCCACAGTTTACACGTGATTAATCAAGGTGAAGTGCGCGTGTTTGCTGTATTACATATCAACACTGTCCGAGAGCACTCTCTGTAATATACATATACGCGCTGTATCAGCTCGAGTTGTTACCGCAATCACATTCATCAAAGGGTGACATCCCGGCAAGTGTGTACGGAGAAATAAGGGGTGGTATGTGTATGTACTGGAAGCATGGCGTCTTAACAGATGTATGTGGTATAATGCGTTTCTATGTGAAATTATTACCTTCTACTGGTTGAGACAATTTATATGTAAATCATAAAAGAAAAACATGTATCCTACGCCATTAATGTCTATCCTAATTATAACTTAACATACAGAAAAAAATAAGGATAGCAGTCATTACAATATTATCAGGTATACTAAAACCGTTATCTGTACTACAAAATCGATTAAGCTAGTGCAAAATAAAAACAAAAGGGACGATAAAGTTGTAAAGATCTTTGAAAATTACACTGAGAATAAGATAGTTAGCGTCTTATTCGTCATCGAAAACACCAGGTAAATCTAGGTCAAATTCTAGTGATGTCACGTCCTCTACGATAGAGCCGGGGTAGAGACCATGAATTAATACGGCACACAAATGAGCATTTCAATTTAAGAAAACATTTTACCGAATTTAGTTCCATCGCAAATAGCAATCACATAGGTCATTGCTTTCAATATTAAAAATATACCTCTTGCAAATTCAGGTATTGCGGGGAAAGTGTACATGCATCGTTCATTAATCAACCGTTGACAGTTGATCGAAACAATGACAGGTTATCGACATACAGAGACAGGACAAAGACTAATTACATCGTCAATCATTACCTTCACACGTTTTAATTGAAAGCTCGTTCCTGAGAGTATTGAGAGCCTGGTATTCGTCCACACGGAACACATACTTCTCCCTGGGTGTGCTGGCTAGACCCTCCAAATCCATATCCTGGACTCCACTTCCAACACCTATTGCCATTATCGTTATATTGGTGTGTTTTGCAAAGTACGCCTCCTGCTGTGCAGCCACATAATGGTTTCTGTTCAAGAACCCGTCCGTAATAAGCACCAGTATCTTAGCGGCCCATGCGCGGCCACCGTGTTCCGGTTTAAACATTTCCTCTCGGGCGTAAGCTATTGCTTTCGCCGTGTTGGTCCCACCTCCGATGTACGGTATCTCCGAGATTGCGCTCTTCAGTTCTGCTGTCGTTTGGTGTTCGTTCAAGTGGAAGTTGAGTAGGGTTTCGTCGCTAAAGGTTATTGCTCCTACTTGAATGTTGTTGCTGCCGATCTTAAAATTGTCTGCCACATTTTGTACAAAATGAAGTTGTTCTTGGAACTGTTCCGTTCTTATGCTTGTGGAGGAGTCTAGTAAGAAAACTATATCGGCTACCTTTTCATTACAGTTGGCACCTGAAATGTATAAATGCAGATTTAATTTTACTTTGTCCAGAAATGAATTATAAAAGCATGTTTATTGCATTTTTAATCAATAAACACTCTTCGTTCTTTATCAGTTAATAATATTTGGCACCTAAATGTATTTAGAAATAAAACAGAACTTTCATCCCAGAAAGACCTTTATTTAAACAAAGGCCCTAAATAAAACAGATAAGCATCTCGGCATTGTAAAAGAAAAGTTATATTTACACTTGGATATGTATAGCATGCTAAAGATAAGCCCCCGAGGCAGATCAAATCCAGCGGAATGTCTAGAAATTCTAGGCAAGTCTTAGATAAAGTTATAGCTATGTTTATATAGTATGCACTCAGATTGACATGCGGAGCAAGATAAAGAATGAACTTAAACCAAGGAATTCCAATGGTGTTCAATGTTACAGGTTCCATGAAATTAAAATTGATCTGATAAAAACAAGTTCCAGGGAGGAACATCATATTTTGGGTCTATGTAACAAAAGATCAAACGCTATTCACAAATACCCAATTTTCTCTGGTTTTCTTGAAGATTTATTATTGCTGTCAGGTAATCAGTAGCGTATTCTTGTTTACAAATCTCCGTGACGATAGGACAGGGGGTTGACGTAGGACTTAAACATAATGTCACGTGGCGGCTTTAAAACCACAGCAAAGGTGTTGTAAAAAAATCAATTCGTTTCATATTGTGTTTCTATCTACCTGCTGTGAGAATTTACGTTATTTTTAAAAAAAATATATTCAGATTATTTTGTCATCAGAACACTCCGGCGTATATGATGTACGGCGATATATATATATATAGCCTGTTATGTGTCCGGATAAGATATATTAGCCTGTGGGTAAATGTTGACAGGTAATACCTTACCTTCTGTGGAGTGGAGTAACCCGATCTGTGAAAGAGAAAAACAATGAAAAATATAAACATGAATCATAATAAAAGTGCACGTGGATCAGTAATGCTTACAAGTGCTATACAAAGAGAGCTTGTCATTAGTGAGAAACGATTTCAGTCAATCACCTTTTCAGCGTAATTTATGTAGTTTGTTTAGATATTGCTGTCCTTTTTTATTAATTTAAAAGGAGAAAATCTTCGGGAATGTAACACATGATAGCACCGCTAAACTAACAAACACTAAACAGCTTTAAGTGGTACTGCTTGTATAAACGCCAGCCGCAGTCACTGTTATTCTTCATCGTACACTTGTTTTACTCTGGATTTTGTTATAATTTGATGTAGTAGGTTTCGCTTTGCTAATTTTTATAGTGATATACTGTGATCATCTTGTGGTATCTTGTGACAATCTAATGATTTACTGTGATCATTTTGATAATGATTTACTGTGATCATGTTGATAATGATTTACTGTGATCATTTTGATAATGATTTGCTGTGATCATTTTGATAATGATATGCTTTGATAATTATACAGGAATCGTATTGATATTTTGTGGCAATATCAATTATTCTATGCTGTGATAATCACTCTCAATTAGATGTTCTACAAGCCCATTGTATCCTGTATGTTATAACAACGATACTGGCAGAATTGAAACTAAGATTAGTTTGGTTTTGGTTTGCTTGTGTTTTACGTCCTATTGTAACAGCTATGGTCATTTAAGGACGTGTCAGGTTTTGGTGTTGGAGGAAAGCCGGAGTTCCCGGAGAAACACCACCAACCTAGATACGGCCAGAATCTGGCGACCGTGCCACGTAGGTCTCGAACCCGCAACGCAGTGGTAGGATGTCAGACGCCTTTACTTCATTTGTATTTTTTGTCTAATGATAATATAATATTCAGTCATGTTGAAGGTATTGTGACGTTTACAAACTGAAACAGTCGTAAGTACTGTTATTTTCCATCTGGCTTTGGGGGGGATTTTCCATCTGGCCTTTGGGGGTTTAGAGGGTATTCTTTTTTTTTGGGGGGGGGGGGGAAGAGAAAGCTGTAAAACACCTTTTTATTTTTATCTTTTTTTATGTAAATTTACAATCTTCATGTTCATTGCGTCTTAACTCTATGCTTGTCTCGCGTAACTATTGTGATTTATAACAACTCCTACAACATATCCACGTCCTCCTGTTAAGCACGAGCTATTGCTCAATAATGATAAATGTCGGCAATATATTTTCAGCGCAGTATAATAAAACATGTTATAATACTTTTCATAAGGATAAGCGTACGGTGTCGTTATTACCCCATTTTAACCATTTATAGCCGGTTTAAATTTCCTTTGGAATATATCAAATGTTGTACATAAGGACTTATTCTGTAGTCATGAGCTTGTTTATCTGTGCAGGAAATGTGCAACACATGCAGTTAACCAGTTTAGTTTATATTTTCTATTGACACTTAAACTTTAGAGCTGTAAAACCCAGACGATTGTTGATAACGACGGAATGTCAGTCTGCCCTAGTCCCGTCCACTGTGACACAAATTTCGTTATCTGAATGTGTGTTGACTTTACTCGAACTTGAATTTTTTAACTCGTGTGATATCAATGCGGTAAGGGATAAGATTAAATGTCTAATAAAGATCATGGTTTAGATTAAACATAGCAAAGCAAACATGATAGTTATAACATCAGTAAAATAGCTCTAACCCCCGAGTAGTGTTTTATCAGAAAAGTACGCGCTTTATTATCAATGAGATTATCCATACCCCAAAATAGCGTGTCAACATGATAATACTAGCTAAGATATCCGTAAGATACCCTTACCCCAAAAGTAGTGCGTTAACCAGGTAATACCAGCTACTGACAATGTTTATGAGATTACCCTTACTCCTACGTAATGTGTAAACCAAACCTGCTGTCTGAAGTGTCTTTGTTATTGCCACTACCTCCAAGGCATTGTATTACCAAGAAAATACTAATCACCCAACTACTCAAATACTTAATGTTTAGGCTTAACAGTGTCAAGACCGTTGTGTTCTATTTCCAATAAAATGAAGCGATTGCTAACTCAATCCTTTAAAGTTATGACGTATTTTTCAACTCACTTAATGTGTTTGAGTGTCCTGTCCTGAAAGATCAATTTGAATCATAATACGACTAATTTTCGTTACAAATTCCATTTTGTTTTCAGAGCTACACTGAACAATACATTATGAATATCAGCATTATCTATGCATTAATTGAACAAGGATGGAAACATTTTGTCCCTGATAATCAATTATGGTGGTCATGATTTGTACTGTTTATTCTAGATTGAAGTAAAATTTGAAGATGTATTCAATTTCCAGAACGGCAATTACCTTAATCAATACTTCCCGTAATTTTACAAACCGACAAAAGCATTATCTTACAAAGGAATACTACATGTAACTGCAAACAGCTATCCGTCACTCATTGTTACCCGTCACACACTGTACAAACTGACAGGGTCATACACTTCACCTAGGAACACTAAGGATAGCAACCGGCAGGTCCACTACCTTCACATCTGAATATTATTTCAAACTCTTCTAAACTAAGTTTTAAAATACGTCAAGTAAGAAATCACCACTAAAGATGTAGAGAGATACCCTAACACCGGGACACTCATTCAGTGTCTTCAGAGCAACAGAGCTTAATACATTTACGTACAAAACCGACAGAACCACTACATTTTAACAAGGGCTTTGTTGTTACAAAATGTTTGACCATTGAAAATCAATTCAGAAAATCATAAATTCATTATTGATACATGTAGTTATTCAATTATGAGAAAACGATACTGATTATTTTTTAAATAGTTTGAATAAAGAATGCAAATGTTTCCTATATAACGTTGACAGGATATATTCATACATTATTGTTTTATGCCAACACATAAAGCCTGCTGTAGGGAAATCTGGCCGAGTCAACGTTATATAATATTCAAGCGTAGCAGAGAAATATGACAATGTACTTCACTACACATTTAGTGTTGTATACATTTGCCTTGTTGATTTAAGCAAATGTCATGTCCAGTAAAACAAACTGAAACTATCGCACATTATTGTGTAAAATATAGTAAAAACACCTGTATTGTTCAGTTACAGTGTGTCTTTATCGACGTTTTACTGAGTACAACATCCAGCAAATGTATTGCACTCTAGGAAAGAAAGCGTGTCACATGTATCAATACACCTGTAATGACGCGTTAGGTTATCTAGTGATACCAGAAAGCTCGACACAGACTGTAATAGTAAAAGCCTGCCACCAGTGTCTGACAATAATAAACACTACTTACAAGACAAAGTAGAGCTGGGAGGCTGATGATAATCCTGGCCATGATAGAGTCCGCGAGTGTTTGTTTCTGGTGTGTGAAAGTCTATGTCTTCAGCTTGACTGCCTGCCAGTTGTTTCAGGGCTACATATATACCAGTGCCGATGCGTTTTTTATTTACTGACAGGTATATATACGTAACTCGCGAGGCGACCCTATTGGTTGAGTTAACTGGAGTACCTGCCCCTCTCTCCGCGTAGTAGTGGTGCCCATATATGGAAGCAGACCATTGAACATTTTGGTGCGTGTATGATAATGACGTCCGGCACATATTTTTTATCATTTACATTTCATTCATAAATCCGAAAATGTTCCCACACCTAAATGTACACACTAAAACATGTGTGTCCTACATTACAACTGCATTGTACAACGAGTTCTACTGTTCTGTAAAACAAACTATCTCCTTAACTTATCATTATTCATATTAAATCATCAATATTCTTTCTTATTATTTTGATGAATTCGAACTATGAAGTATATAAATTTCCATCAATGCCAAAATTTGTTGATGCTTAACGACTTGTGTATTTCTACTTTTAGTGTAAGTATATGATATTTGAATGTATGATAAAAGGCTTGCAGTTATTTATGAAATTGGCAGACATAATCTTTCCTACAATTAACTGGGACTCTTGTTCATAACTTTGGAAAGGGGAGAGGAATTTACGTAATTTTCCCAGCAATTTCATCAAATGTGGGAAGAAATTAATCCCCAAATAGTCGATTTAAGATGTCACATGTAGTCACATAAATATACAAGAAAATAAACACACAACACAGGCATAAACAAAAACACACGAAAAAATACAACACAGGAATAAATACAGCATAGAAATATACAAAACATAGGAATTTAAACATCACAGAAAAATACACAACACAGGAATAAAAACAACACATAAAAATATACAACACAAGAATGAATACAACACAGATATATACAAAACACAGGAATGAAAACAACACATAAACATACACAACGACCACAGCACAGAAATATACACATCAAACTGATATAAACAACAAGGAAATATACACATCAAACTGATATAAACAACACAGATATATACACATCAAACTGATATAAACAGCACAGAAATATTAACAACACATGAACAAATACAGCACAGAAATATACACATCAAACTGATATAAACAACACAGATATATACACATCAAACTGATATAAACAGCACAGAAATATTAACAACACATGAACAAATACAGCACAGAAATATACACATCAAACTGATATAAACGGCACAGATATATGAACAACACAGGAACAAATACAGCACAGAAATATACACAACACAAAAACAAAGAAATATACACATCAAACTGATATAAACAACACAGAAAATATGAACAACACAGAAAATATGAACAACACAGAAAATATGAACAACACAGAAAATTCAAAAAACAGAATAAATATAACACAGAAATATACACAACAAACGAATTTATTGGACACCATATTCATTAACATGACATAAGAATATATCACATAGAGAAAATATAAGGTATGCAACAAAGTACAGGAGATGAATATGAACAAGTATACAGTAACACATATATGTGTGTCAACGGATTAGCACAGACAGATAAAATAAGCATAAATTACAATCTTATGCACTCGCTGTGGATGATTAGCCAAAAGGTATTGATTTTTGCTATTTTTCATCGTTTATTTATAGCATTTTAATGTTATTTCCCTGAGTGCTAGTTGCGCAGTCCTAACAACACGTATTTATTCAGTGATGAGTTAATAGCCTTTCAGTGACCTTAGAGGCAGGTAAAACACCCGTTCACTCTAAGGTACATCCACCTGATTGTTCACTGTACCACATAGGTACTACTTGAGATTCCAGTGTGGTAAGTATTGTTTATGTGACCCGGGCGTTAGGATTATATCCATGTAACTAAATCAAAGAATGCCTGTCTAATTAAAGACGGCAGGTAAAATGTGATAGGTTTTCACAATGCTTTTTATTGCCTCTAAGGATGAATTATAGGACAATTTATAGTTCAAAAACAAACATTGAAGTAAACCCTCTGAGAATTAAATGCGGATATTCGAAAAAAACCTCCCACAATTCATCGTATTTGACCACAGTATTACAGAAATAAAAACCGCATGAGTAGGGAGATTCTCAGCAGGTAACTGGGTGGCATAGCTGTGAACCCATCGACCATGTGCGGTCTGCGGTACGCTACCTGAGTAAGTTTATAATTGACAATGATACAGGTATGTTATCGGTATGTTACAGGTATTTCCTATCCAGTACCATTGACTCACGTCACTGAGTGACACTAAGTGAAATAAATACCCTGGACGGGGAAACAGTAAAAAGCAGGTTTAGTGCTATTAAATGGGTGTTATTATAGTGTTTTTATAGTGCTATTACATGGGTGTTATAGAAGCCGGCAAACCTGCCATACTGTCACAATGATATACATTATGTATGTATAAACGCTGGGACATCGCGTTAAATATCCTTCTGTTTTGATTAATAGGGGACCACAGATATATTCTTAATCGGAATTGAGGCAATTAAAATCAAATCAAGATAACACCAGAAATGTTATTGCAATTATCAGTATAGCAGAATTTGTATTCATTCAACAATACTGGGCAGATGGTTATTTTTGAAAGTTCATACAAAAAGCAGTCCAAAACTTCCCCTACTTCACATTACCTGTACACATAGTTTGTCACTTAACAGAAAGAAAACAGATCCGGTGATTGTTGAAGGTATTAAGATTAACATGTAAACGAGACATAAAACAAAAATATGCATATTTTCTCACACTCCGTAAACAGGTTACGTCACCCTCTGAAGTGTCATTTGCTTCTCATTAGACTAGGTATATACTTGAAAGAGACCGCTTCAAGTGGAAGGCATAAACAATATAGCTTGACCCCCACGTGACGTCACGATGTTGATTGTTAGCGAGGACAGCGTTATCTTGAACATTTATCACAAATAGCTGATGGGGTCGTTGTAAGATATTGCAGCGCACCTTGTATACGTAGCCTCTATGGTGTGACGATATCACAAACCGCTTTTTGCTTCAGAAACCTGAAACTGTCTTCATCGCGGAGACCACATGACAGAAAAAAACATGTGCACCCACGAGTGTGTACGCGTTAGCAGGCCGCCGTGCCTAGTCCTACCCACAGACAAGGAAACGCATGTTGTACCCACAGAAATGCATGTTGTGCTATACGGTACCACCCTCAGGGTTGACAAAAATACTCCATAGTCACATTGTAACCCGCTGTGTAGAAGTCTAATGTTTCCGATTTCAATAATTCATGTCACTGGGTCGAGTTTCATCTGCTGCACACAGAATCGTTACAGAACAGCATGGATACATTTTTATGGGAGTAAATCTAACAGGTTTCTTTTGAAAATAAGATTAGATTAATATGGTCATTAGATTCTGTATCTTCTCATTTAAGTCATCTAAGACTTATTGCAACATATTAAAAAACAAGTATATTATGCAGTTTTTGTTTCTTTTCACTGTTGTGTAGATAGGCCTTTGACATAACCGTTTAGTACGCCCACCTTGAACCTAACCCATCTAAATCCACCAGCAGAGGGCCACTCTAGCTGAAGCTTCAGAGAATATCTTACTATACAATATTATACCAATCTAGCTTATTTCATGAAAAATGAAAGCCCTTTTATATCACATCGAAGTAAAATTCTCTCCAAAACAACAGAATATCTCCCGCATATAACATTATATGACGAGGATGACTTTTCACTGTGAGAGCGTGCCATGATGTTATCTGATTGTATTTTGGCAGCCATGATATATTGCCCTTCACATATGAATTCCCTATCCGATATAAACAAGTGCAATCAGTTATTGTTGTAGAACATCTCAATTCTGAATCATAAATTTCATGAAAAATTAATATACATTAACACATCAAATGTTTCACTTTTATGTCCTTTATAGAATTATCTAACATGGAAACATAAATGTGATCCTCTTCAATTACTTCAGTAAGTCGTATACACACACATTTGTGAACAAAAAACAAACAAAAGACAAAAAACCTTAAACATGGTAGCCATTTTCATCAAAATAAATGCCAAAAATAAGTATTTTCTTAATTCATTTATGGGAATACCTGGTTGTTTAAGAAACAATTACCTTTTAAAATTGAATATGAACAGAAACATCAGCAGACATTGTAAATATGTCAGTTCGATAGAACACGTTGGATTGAGACTGAATGACATTCAAACCAGGGAAACCATTGGGGTTTTGGCATTGAAGGAGGAAATGTGGCGAGACGAGTAAAGCTCATGATACAGGAGGAAGTGTGGCGAGACGAGTAAAGCTCATGATACAGGAGGAAGTGTGGCAAGACGAGCAAAGCTCATGATACAGGAGGAAGTGTGGCGAGACGAGTAAAGCTCATGATACAGGAGGAAGTGTGGCGAGACGAGTAAAGCTCATGATACAGGAGGAAGTGTGGCGAGACGAGTAAAGCTCATGATACAGGAGGAAGTGTGACGAGACCAGTTAAGCTCATGATACAGGAGGAAGTGTGACGAGACGAGTTAAGCTCATGATACAGAAGGAAGTGTGGCGAGACGAATAAAGCTCATGATACAGGAGGAAATGTGGCGAGACGAGTAAAGCTCGTGATACAGGAGGAAGTATGGCGAGACGAGTAAAGCTCATGATACAGGAGGAAGTGTAGCGAGACGAGTAAAGCTCATGATACAGGAGGTAGAGTGGCTAGACGAGTAAAGCTCATAATACAAGAGGAAGTGTGGCGAGACGAGGAAAGCTCATGATACAGGAGGAAGTGTGGCGAGACGAGGAAAGCTCATGATACAGGAGGAAGTGTGGCGAGCCGAGTAAAGCTCGTGATACAGGAGGAAGTGTGGGGAGACGAGTAAAGCTCATGATACAGGAGGAAGCGTGGCGAGACGAGTAAAGCTCATGATACAGGAGGACGTGTGGCGAGACGAGTAAAGCTCATGATACAGAAGGAAGTGTGGCGGGACGAGTAAAGCTCATGATACAGGAGGAAGTGTGGCGAGACGAGTAAAGCTCGTGA